AATGAAATGTCATGGCTTTACTTTGGTCAATTAAAGGGGGGATTTTTTTTTTTTAAATGTGCCTTATTTGTTTTGTGACTGATTTGAGGAAGGCAAAAGTTTTGCCATGCTGATAGAGGACAGAAAGCGGACCTTGTCCATTCTCTTAACTTTCAAAACAAACAATGTAGGGGCATTTTTTCTTTCTCAAATCAGGAAAATTGTCAAGAACTAGCTCAGATCCTACATATCCAAACTTGTTATTTCAAAATTTGCAGCACCTAGCACAACGCCTTGCACACAGTGGGTGCTCAATAAACTTTTATTGAATGAATAAATGTGGGACCAGCAGAGTGCCATTTCTTGGCAGGAAAGGCAGCTGGATTGCCTTCATGTTTCTGTTCTCAACACCTTTCTGTCCTAAGACACTCTGACTTTACGAGGTGGCTAGCCAGACCTGATGTCACCAGTGTTCTTTGGGACTGGCTAAGTTTTTGGTTTTTTTTTTTTTTTTTTTTGGTTTGTGTCCTTGGATCAGGAAGAAATCAAATGAGACTAAATTAGCAGCTTTGAAGACTCAAGGCAAATAGTACAATTACTGTTTTCTATGGAGAAGAAGAAACTCCTCCAACATTATGCATAGAGCTTGATAGTCAGTAGATTTTTTTTTTTTTTTTTTTAGATTTATTTATTTATACAAGCACTGGGTACAGTCAGAAGCACGGGAGAGTGAGAGAATTCACCAGAGCCAGAGTGGGGAGCAGAGCAGGCAGAAGGACCAAAGTACACTGTTGAGGGGAGCAGAGGGTGGCAGGAGGGGTCTGTGCGCCATGTGGGACCCTCCTCCGGTGGCCGGGGAGCAGCTGGGGATTGAACCGGCATTGCAGAGGCTGTGGGCAGCTTCGCAACCCAGTGCTCAACCGCTGTGCCACCGGGGAGGCCCAGTAGATGTTTCTTAATCCACTTAAACGTAATCACACACATCTGAAATTCAGCTACTCAATACTCTTATTTATTCGTGCCACAGTAAATATCTTATTTGTTAATTTTCTTTAGAATGCACTAAAACTCTTGTGGTTATTTGAAGATGAACTTCTTTCTATCTTAGTCTCAGCAAGTTGTTACAATTTTTTTTTTTTTAAAGATTGATTTATTTATACAAGCACTGGGTACAGTCAGAAGTGCGGGAGGGTGAGAGAATTCACCAGAGTTAGAGCAGGGAGCAGAATAGGCAGACTGATGAAATACACTGCTGAGGGGAGCAGCGGGTGCAGCAGAAGAGGTCTGTGTGCCATGTGGACCCTTGCAGAGGCTGCTGACCTGGGAGGCCAAAGTTGTTAACGATACTACCACTAACAAGCTCAGATCTGGTTTTGAAGCCCTTGCCAAATAGGCTACAAATTAGAAGTGGGAAGAATTGCTACCTGCAGTCACCTAGAAAGCAGTGCTAGCCTGACTTCAGGAAAGAAGAAACTTTTTAACAATTTTTTTTAACTCAAAGCACAGCAATCCCATGGATATTTAATATCAGGACATTAAAACAGCCTATGTTCAGTATGGTAGGACATTGTATGTAATTTATAACAATACATATATCAGTAATAAGTATGTACCTTAAGTTATTAAAAAAAATAGCAAGGCAGCTGTTTAGTGTTACCTGATTGAGAAATAAGAGGAATTACGTGGCTTTTAGAGAAGTCAAAATGGTGCTCCTGATGGGTATGCTTAGGTGTACTTGGACCCACAGGAAACAGCCTTCCAAACCAATTTATATACCAAGTACTTTAGCTGTAATGAAATTTAATTTGATGCAAGAATTGATTTACTATATGTAAATTATTTATATGTAAAATTCCTTTCTAGCAGAAAACATTATTTTGTATTTTGGGTTGTTTTCCAATGAGTTAAGTCCAGTTAGAGATGGGTAATGATCTTCCTCCATAGTCTATATAACTCTTTAGCTTATCACTATTTAGTCAATTGCTTTTCAGATTTTAAATTGTTTCTTTCTGGGCTACATGAAGCTCTTTTTAAAATTTACTTTCCATTGTTTTAGTGCACAAGATGTTAAAAAAAAAAAACAAGTAATTCTAAAAGCCAACAGCACTGTTTTCTGAAGTTACCCTCTTTTAACACTCTTAATTACTTACATGCATATCATTAAGAAATTTGCTTTATTTTGCTTTCTGTTCAATTTTAAGTATCATCTGTTGAGTTTCTGGTGTGAAAACTGAGGATTTAGCTCTTTTTAAAACCATCCTACTAGCATAAACAACTCACACTTTTACTGTCTTCAGGTTGTTTACATTTATGATTCTAGATTAGGTCAGTATTTAGCTTTTACCTTATGGCTGTTCACAACTAGGCCGTGTGGCATACTGCTACTATTTTTCCCCCTGCATAACTTGTTTTTGAAGGGAGTTTGTTCTTGTCAATAATTTCTCCCCCAAATACACCACTGCGCTCAACCTGCTGCGCCACTGCGGAGGTCCCTGGACTAGTCTTATATTTGTTTTTCTATTCTCCCTCTTATTTTTCTTCCTGGGAGACTTTCAAAACTTTTGTTTCTAACTTACTTTCTGTCTTTTCTGTTACAGATTTTGTGTCCAAGACTTTTGTTGGAATATGCCTTTGTTTTTAAAGGCTTTCTCAAATTTTTCGTTATCTGCTCTTTTTAAAGAGTATGACCCTAAAAAAAGCTTTGAGAGGTTTATGGGTGGGGCTTATTGAATCTGAGTTTCATTCTACTGTGATCTGGGTTACCTCAGGAAATCCCTGATAATGGTTTTTTTTACATCTCTTATATAGGTAAGATTCTCTCAAGTAGTCTTGTACAGTAAGTCCTCATTTATTAGGTTGTTATAAACTGATGTAAGGGGGCCTCCTTGGGGGCCTAGAGGTTAAGTCTCAGTGATATCACTGCTATGGCCTGAGTTTGATCCCCAGCCAGGGAGCTAACCTACATATGGCACAGTGAACCCTCTCACCACCCCCCCTAACCCCGTACCTCTGGCCTACACCCCAGTTCTCCACAAAAATTAATTTTTTTTTTAAAGTCTGTAAGAAAAAAGGATGTAGAAAGAAGGTCCTCAAATAACACCGTTGTCTTCCACAAAAGGGGATTTTTTTTCTTGTTGATGTTGAATGGGCTATTTGATGACCTGCTATAGCTCCTTTTAAGGATGCAAGCCAGACTGCCAGATTTCTGAGAGTAAAAGTTCAGCCTGCAGTGTATAAATTTAATCAGTTTTCAGTAAGGCACTCAGGCCTTTAGCTGTGCCTGATGCTCTTCTGGTCAGATACTATGTATTTACCCTCTCCAGTCTAATACTGGTTTGGGGGAGGGGCAGTACCATGGCTACACAGAGGAGGGAGAACCAAGGGTCCATATGCTTCTTAAGTAGTCTTTCAGCTCACCTTTTTTGTCCCATCTTCCCCTCCACATTCCCTTACCTCGTGTCACTAACTGAAGTCCTGTGATGTAAATCATGTTGCTTTCTGCTTTCCCATGGCTGGCTTTATGATTCATCTTTTTTTCACCTAAACTAGTTTCCTTTTACTTAAAATCTTTACACTTTCCAAATTTTGTTTTTCATATTCTATTCTTGCCTTTAAAGAGTTTACCATTATTTTTTAAACAGTAAATTTTAAAATTTCATTAATATTTACTATTAATATGTACGATTTTGGTAAGGTTTCAGAAGGGACAGAAGCTTTTGTGTGCATTCCTTCACCCATAAGCTACTGTTAACTGGTATTCTGCCTGACATCTGTACACCTTATTTTCCAGACTAAAAAGGTATCTTACTTTCATTCAGATACATAGGAACTGTGCAGGTCCTCCTCTTCCTTTCTTCACATTCACTTTTGCAGCACAGTGCAGAAAGCTAGAGAAAATGTAGCAAATCTGGAAAATTTACTTTTATTACCTGAAGCCTACTTTATTACGTTATGTCATGGTTTTAAAACTTCTTGCATAAGCACTTTTAAGTGTTCTGATCTTGATGTTTGTCCCTGACTTCACTTCTTTAAAACATTTTGTAACATATTTTACACTTACTCTATTACTGGTATCATAATCAAGAGCTAGTTACGCGCAACAAATGAGGCCTGGTTTTAAGAACTGGACACTTTCCACGGACAAGATTTTGCCCCATACCTTGAGTTCCCAGTCTATTGTGTTTGGTGGGGCAGAGAAGAGCAGGGTCCCTAATTTGTTTTTCCAGATCATTTTGTTTTCAAGGAAGTCCCTTTCCCCAGAATTTACTTTCCCATTTAAACCGGTTACTTTTGCAAGTAAACAGTTCGCCTCGTAAAATAGAGCATGCTGCTTCTACCTGACTTACCCATTTAGAACGAGAAAGCAGCTATGACTAAGCTAGGCAGATGCTCTTCCTTTAAAAGGCTGGGCCGAAGTACTCTCTTGGCGCCAGTTCAGACAAGACGGAGCAAACTGGTTATCCTGACAGCACCCCTAACTACACAAGCTTGCTGCATCTGGACGCCTTCGTACCCCGTTAGTGCATGACCAGTCATTTCTGATGCTTCTCGTTCCCTCCACAAAGTTCCTTTCATTCTTCCCAAGGTCAATCCTTCACAGCTGTCCCTGGCTTCGGGCTCGTTTGCCCGGCGGCCGCACCTGAAAACTACAGGGGCGGCACTCGTCGAATTGACCCTCACGGCCCCGGCGGGCAGCCGGGCGCGGTGCTGAGGCTCCGGGCCGCCGGGTGCGGCGGGCGTCGGTCCAGAGCGGCTGGAGCCGGCGCAGGGTGGCGGTGCCCGGGTGCCGATGCAGGGGGGCTTCGGCTCCTCTGGAGGCCGCACCCCGGATCCAGTTCGCGTTGAGGTCCAGGGGCCCTTCGGGCCGAAGCGGGCGGCGGCTCTGAGGTCTCCGGCTTGGACATTCCCCCGACCCCGGGGCCGCGCAGCCCCTCCGGCCCGCGCCGGGCAGAGGCGAGGCCGGACCTTCCCGCCCCGGCACGGGAGCGCGCGCGCCTGCTTTACGGCCGGGGGCGCGCCTTTGCGACGGTGAGACGCAGGCAAGTTTTGGCGGGAAAAGCCCTGCATTTGGATTCCTGAGGTGGCAGGCAGAGGACGGCCTGGTGAGGAGGGGCGGCCGGTGGGTGGGAACGGGAGCTGGAGAAGGAGTTCGGGGTCCACCTTAGTTAGGGGCGCGAAGAGAGAAGGTAACCGGTGGCGAGCGAAGGGCTGGAAGAGGCGCCCTCGGAGGGGCGGTTCCTGAGGGAGGCAGGGGACGGTGGCAGGGGACCCCCGTAGCAGACGGGCTGGAGAGACCCTCCCTGCGCGGGCCGCCGGGGTGCCTCCCCGCCCTTCCTTCCGCTGCTGGGGGCACCTTGGCCCCGCCCCCGGGCTCCTCCCGACGGTCGGGACGGGGTGGGGGTGCGAGTGGGGAGCGGGAGGACGGGGGGAGGGGCTCGGTAGGCGAGGTGCCTGCCACGAGCCCGCGCCCCGCGGGTCTGACCCGAACCCCGCCACAGGCTCCCACTCTCAAGCTCAGCCTCCCAAGCCCGCAGCACAGCTGCTCCATTTCGCCAGACGCCCCGAAGAAGGCCTTCGGGGGTGTGGGCTCATCTGAGGAGGGCGAGCACAGCTCACCACGCCGGGATGTAGAATACTTGCTTGCGCTTTAAGGGCTGGGGTGCCACCGAGCTGAGGTCTAAGGGGAAGCCAAGAGCTGTTATTTCTTTGGCGGAATCATGGCCAGGGTTGAACTCGGTGGCTTCACAGGTGGTTGAAGTTTATCCTCATCCCGCATCTGTGTGGGTTCCTGCCTTTACAGCCCTGGCACATGGTGGAATCATGGCCGTGCCTTTTGTAGAAGACTGGGATTTGGTGCAGACCCTGGGAGAAGGTGCCTATGGAGAGTGAGTTTGGATTCTTTTACCCTTCACACTTGATTTAGTTTTCTGATCATCATCTCACTTGACTACAAATTTGCTTTGGAGTTGTTTATTCTAATACAGAGAACAGAGCTTTGTACTTGCTATCCAAAATGTTTGGGAACTGAAGCTACACAATCTTTTGTGAGGATAACTTTTCTTCCTGTTCTTTACATTGTTTCAGACAGACCACTGAAGTCAGTTTCTCCCACTTACTCCTTCCTGGGACATAAGTAGTGGCTGCAAAGCATGTGAATAGACTCTGGAGGCTGTGTGCCTGGTTTGTTTAACTTGACCACATGCTGTTCATTGTTTTGTGTTCTTAGGGGAGTTGCTTAATGTCCTCGTGTGCCTGTGTCCTCAGCTGCAGGATGGGGTCTTCCCTACCCCATAGGTACTTAGAATAGGTACCACAGTATATGTAGTTTCAAATGAATAAATGTTAGGTGATGGTGTTACAATTCAAGGATTAGAGCTTGTGTATATGTGACATGCCTTAGAATTGCTATTTTCCCATTTTAGCTTAGTTTATCAAGAACTTATTAAATGACTCCTTTCTGCATTCTTTGGAGCATTAGCTGTCCTACCTCACATTTCAGAAAGGCGTAGTATCTGTTCAGAACAAGGCAGAAACCATTTCCTTAGTTTTTTTGGTAAGGAAAGTAATAAAGGTAAATTCGTTTTGGATAAGTCATATTTAATCTTTCGAAGTTTTTTTTTTTAAAAATGGTATTCAGATGTTTAGACTGCTGTAACTCCTCCTTTTCCATTTCAGAGTTCAACTTGCTGTGAATAGAAGAACTGAAGAAGCAGTTGCAGTGAAGATTGTAGACATGAAGCGTGCCATAGACTGTCCAGAAAATATTAAAAAAGAGATCTGTATTAATAAAATGTTAAATCATGAGAATGTAGTGAAATTCTATGGTCACAGGAGAGAAGGCAATATCCAGTATCTGTTTCTCGAGTACTGTAGTGGAGGAGAACTTTTTGATAGAATAGGTATGGAAAAGATTTAAGATAGTTATTCAGCTAAGTAAGCTTATAAGATCTTGGGTCTGCTGTTTGGTTATTGTCCATTCAGAATTCCTTATGCACCAGTGAAATTGGGGTAAATTTTCTTGTTTATACAATTAATGTCAACACATAAAAGCATATATCAAAGAAAACTTTTCCCTGAATTAAGTGATTTAGGTTGGGATTGCTGTTTTATAAAGAATGATAATCAAACTGTAATCTCCTGGTGAATATCATAAGCGTGATGCATTGTTTGCTTATACAATTTTTTTGGTAGACTTTCTAGTACATGAAATCTTTATATACATGTACAGATAGAAAATAATAGTATGTTGTTAGATTTCTCCCTTATTTGAGTTAAATAATTGTTTTATATGACATTCCATGTTTGTTACTTAAATGTTCTATGTATATTCAAAGGCTTGATTTTATAGAACACATGAAGTACATAAAATATATTCTGTGGATCTAAATTTATTATTTAAGGCTGTTATACTAGCAGTTGAAAACTGATTATTCATATCTCTACTATATCTCAGGAGATCAGCTGAGTGTGAAAGAAAATGAGTTAATGAGGGAGATCAAAATATAAAAAGATAAGGGAAAAGAGAATATTTCTTTAACTGTTACTGTGTTTACTGAAGGAACTCCACAGGCATTCATGATTTTGTAGTGTTTAGTATAAATCTGTTAAATATTTAGTGAAATTAGCTCAGTTCTACCCAGGCTCCTGCTTTGGCAATTACATTTCAGGAGTAAGGAAAATACTGACATAGCATTTAGTAGAAATTAGGGGAGAACTGGAAGGATACCAAATAAATCATGGTTAGTGTCAGATAAACAAGAGTTTTCAAAGTATTGCTTTGGGTGAAAATTTGTTACTTCTAATTTTCCTCTTAGATTAATTTCTTTTTGCCACCAACAGATGGTGAAATGTGTTGTTAAGGACTCTGTTAGTGGACTCCAAAATCTTTTAATTTTTAGCATAATATTCTGTTTGCAATCATGTTTGACTTTAGGATCTGGAGCATACGTGGTTGATTCCTGATTATATTTACTTAGTAATCTAACTTACATGATTCTTACAGAGCCAGACATAGGCATGCCTGAACAAGATGCTCAGAGGTTCTTTCATCAACTCATGGCAGGGGTGGTAGGTACAGTTGTCTTACTTAAAATTAATATGAATGAAGTAAGTAAATGAATTCTAGTCTGTTTACCTCTACTTCCCTTTTAGATTTATCTGCATGGCATTGGAATAACCCACAGGGATATTAAACCAGAAAATCTCCTGTTGGATGAAAGGGGTAAGTTCAGCATGTTGTCATTTCTACTTGTATTATTTTAATACAAACATATAAGACAGTCTCTAGGCTTTTGCATTAGTAAAATTTCAGGGCAAAAACATTTAAAATCAAGGAAATTTTAGAGACTAAGTATATTTGGACTTCACAAATTCTTCATGATATAGTTATGAATGAGATGGAGAAATCTGACTTAGATACAAGGATTACTGACTCACTTGATGAGTAACTATAAAAATAATCTTAATACCTTTTTAATGGATTAATAAAGGGAAACTTTACTGGAATATCTTGGACTTTAGGCTTGTCCTGTTTATTCTTTTTAATGTATGACTTGGATAAAGGTGTAAATTTAGTTATATTTTATGAAATGAGAAGGATGGATATTGAAGTGTTAGTTTATAGAATCAGGATTTAAAAGATGATGAAAATACCAACTCTACGAGGAAGTAATTTTTGTTCATTTTTGTTTAATGCTCTATTTAATGCATTAGAGTAGTTCCTGGCAAATAGTAGGCTTTCAAAAATAATTGTTAAATAAATGAAGTTAGACTAGAGAGGTGAGTCAGACTGAACAAATTATTTTCCAATAGGGAAAAATCTGAAGTCCAGTATTTAGATTGAAAATACTAATCAAAGAAGTATAGTTGAATGGCATAGTTTTAGGCAGTAAAATAGGTTTGAAAGGACCTTTTTTTTAAAAGATGTATTTTTATTTATTTATGCATAAAAGAGCTGGGGTATAGGCCAAAGGTGGTAATGGTGGTGGTGGTGAGAGGATTCATCACAGACAGAATGGGAAGCGGAACAGGCAGATCTACTGAAACACACTGCTGAGAGGAGCAGCCGGTGACCCAGGAGAGGTCTGCTGGGCCATGTGGGTTAGTTCCCTGGCTGGGGATAGAACTCTACCTGCAGATAGCTTCATAGTGCTGAGATTTAACCCCTCGTGCCATCAGGGAGGAACAAAAAGGACTTTTACCAGGTAGCAGACGTCATTTTAGTCACCAGCGTGATCTGGTCATTAGAAAACTAAGGTTTTCTAACTATTTAGCACGAAAATGGTAGCAGTCCAGCAACTACCCTGGTGAGACCATGCCAGAAATAGTGGGTCTGCTGGCACAATATTACAAAAGGCATGTAGACCACAGAAGTTCTTTTCATAGGAGAGAATAAGAGTGATGAAAAGACTACACACTATGTAAAATAAGAAATAACTGAAGGAACACAGAGAACTTGCTAATTGTTAATTACAGTTCTTTGGGACAGGTGGAAGAAAACTATATTGAAGCCATTTGGATTAGTACAAGGGTGGCTCCATTAATGAATCTGTCTGAAAGATGAACAGTTTGCTTTGGAATGTAGTGAATTTGTAATATGAAGTGCTTTTTTTTTTATTTAAATTTTATTTTTTATATTCCCCATACAATTACAACCCCCTTATTTTGACCCCAAGCCCTCCTTTCCCTGCCCCCCACCTGCCATAGAGTGTCTCTGATTCATAGTTGTTTGTCGATTTTGATATTTTCTTTCTTATAGTTATTCTTTTTCCTGGTCCCTTATTTAAGTTTTCTAGATTCCTGCTATGAGTGAGACCATCCGGTATTTTTCTTTTTCTTTCTGACTTATTTCGCTGAGCATGATCCCTTCCAGCTCCATCCATGTTGCTGCAAATTGCATGTGTTTATCTTTTTTGAATGCTGAGTAATATTCCATGGTATATGTACCACATCTTCTTGATCCAGTCATCTATTTTTGGGCATTTGGGCTGTTTCCAAAGCTTAGCTATTGTAAACAGTGCTGCAATAAACATAGGGGTGCAGGTGTTCTTTGGAATTGATGTTTCTGTGTCCTTTGGGTAAATACCTAGGAGTGGAATTGCTGGATCATATGGAAGCTCTATGTTTAGTAGGTCCAGCAATCTCCACACAGCTCTCCATAGTGGTTGGACCAGTTTGCACTCCCACCAACAGTGCAGAAGAGTTCCTTTTTCTCCACACCCTCGCCAACACTTGTTGTTGCTAGTTTTTTTAATATGTGCCATTCTCACTGGTGTAAGATGGTATCTCATGGTAGTTTTGATTTGTATTTCCCTGATTCCAAGTGATGTTGAACATTTTTTCATATGCCTGTTGGCCATTTGCATTTCCTCTTCAGAGAAGTTTCTTTTTAGCTCTTCTGCCCATTTTTTGACTGGATTATTTTCTTTGTTTTTTTTGAGTCTCATCAGCTCTTTGTAGATTTTTGTGATCAGTCCTTTATCATTAGTGTTGGGTGCAAAAATGTTCTCCCAGTCGGTGGTGTTTCTCTTTGTTTTTGTTATTGTCTCTTTTGCTGTGCAGAAGCTCTTTAATTTGATGTAGTTCTAGCTGTTTATCTTTGCCTTCACTATCACTGCTTTGGGAGATGTGTCTGTAAAGATGTCTTTGATGTGCATATCATGTAGTGTTTTGCCTATATTTCCTTCTATGTATTTTATGGTTTCAGGTCTTATGTCTAGTTCTTTACTCCATTTTGAGTTGGTTTTTGTGCATGGTATTAGGTAGTAGTCAAGCTTCATCTTTTGCATGTAGCAACCCAGTTTTCCCAGCACCATTTATTGAACAGACTTTCTTTGCTGCAATGCATATTCTTTGCTCCTTTGTCAAAGATTAGTTGACCATAAATCTGTGGGTTTATTTTTGGATTTTCTGTTCGATTCCATTGGTCTGTGTGTCTGTTCTTGTTCCATTACCATGCAGTTTTGATGATTATGGCTTGACCAAAGTGCTTTTTAAATATTATTCTACCCTGAGATTTAGTTTTTCTGGAAGTATTGTTTACCACCAACAAGAAGTAGTATACTTTCTAACTAACCTTTTGCCCTCTAACTGACCTTTATACAATGGGATAAATTAAGAAAAGTCAACTTATTTAATAAATAATGGGGCTGGGCCTCCCCAGTGGTGCAGCAGTTGAGCGCTGGGTTGCAAGACTGCCTGCAGCCTCTGCAGCGCCGGTTCGATCCCCGCCTGCTCCCTGGCCACCGAAGGAGGATCCCACATGGTGCGCAGACCTCTCCTGCCGCCTGCTGCTCCCCGCTCTGGCTCTGGTGAATTCTCTCACCCTCCCGCACTTCTGACTATACCCAGTGCTTGTGTAAAATAAATAATAAATAAACACAGAACTTATTTAAAAAAAAAAATGGGGCTATGAGAATGTGTAATATTATCTGGAATGTGAAAACTTTGTTCCCAAACTAAAACGTTTGGTTTTTTTTTTTCCCTCTTTGTAAAGATGAAAGGTAATCTGTAAGTAAGATCAAAAAACTGAAGAATAAAGTAAAAAAGTCACGTGAAAGCCGCCAATCAATGACCAATATCATAGCTGATTGTTTTGATGAATATCTTTTAGTTATACTTTTATTAACCCATTCAGTAACCTTGCTACCTAAGCTCCTCCCTTGGTTATGGTGGGTTCTGCAAATTGTTTCATAAGCATAGTAGAATTTTAGATATTAGAAGTTTGGTGTATGGAAAGAAAAGAATTATGATTGGTCTGTTGATGAATCCTGAGAAATGAGTAAATCTGGCAGAATTCCTTTTGCTTCCAATTTTCATTCTACTTCCATTACTTTTTGAATGCTAACAGCCTTTACAGTATTACAATCAGATCCTCTCCTTCCTCATCTATAAATTGTTGGTTTTGAATAAATGCAGGTTTCAAGCTACATTAAACTCTGAGAAAGAGGGATCGTATGTCTCTAAATATGAGAGTATAGCTTAGTATTACTAAATATAGCTTAGTATTATGAGAGTATAGCTTAGTATGCTTTGAATTAGCTTTAATATAGGCCACTCATAGGTGGCATAAAATGCATAAATGCTTTTATAGGTTGGATTGTAGGATATTTGCTTCTTTTGTGCATGGAACTTTTTATCCGTTTACATTGTATTGATACAGCATAAAAACTTGTAATTTTTATGTTTAAAAATAATAGTAAAACCAAGTTTATTATTTGAGATACAGATACATGGGAAAAATTACAAAGAAAGCGAAATATCAGGGCCTCCCTGGTGGCGCAGTGGGTTGAGTGCTGCACTGTAAAGCTGTCCGCAGCCTCTGCAGTGTGGGTTCAATGCCTTCCAGCAGCGAGAATCCCACATGGTGCCGCAGACCTCTCCTGTCGCTCCCGCTGCTCCCCTCAGCAGCGCATTTCTGTTGTCTGCCTGTTCTGCTCCCTGTTTTGTCTCTGGTGAATCCTCTCACCCTCCCACACCTCTGGCCTATACCCCAGCTCTTGTATAAAAATAAATAAAATCTTAAAAAAAAAAAAAAAGGCAAAATATCAGAAGGGTGGTTACTTCTGAGAAGTTATGAAGGGAATATATTCAAAGACAAGTTTCTGGGGTATTTCAGAGGAAATAGAATGTTCTTAAACTGGGCATTGTTGGGGCCTCCCTGGTGGCGCAGGGGGTTAGGATGCAATCTGTGAAGCTGTCCGCAGCCACTGTAGCTCGAGTTTGATCCCCCAGCCGGCCAGGGAGCAACCCACATGGTGCAGCAGACCTCTCCTGACTCACCTGCTGCTCCCCTCAGCAGTGTATTTCAGTTAGTCTGCCTGTTCTGTTCCCCACTCTGTCTCTGGTGAATCCTCTCATCCCCCACACCTCTGGCCTGTACCCCAGCTCTTGTATGCATGAATAAATAAATCTTTAAAAAAAAAAACTGGGCGTTGTTGAGTGGATGTTCACTATGTCATTCTTTATATCTTGCATATTATATAAATGTTCTTTTGTTTCTATTCAATAATTAAGAATCTTTTAAAAGAGAAAACATTGCCAATATAATTGAAGTCCTTCTGTGTATCCTTTCACAAATGTATTTCCCTTTCTTTTTCTCATACATACTTCTCAATTTCAATTTACTATATCAGTTCTCTAGTCTGAATATTATGTTGCAGACATAATGAAACAAAACCCAAGGAATGCCATTAGTATTTTCAGTGACCATTGCTTATAAGTAACTTGGTACTCTTAATCTTAGTAGTTTACTAAGATTGAGTCATATATTGCTATTAAAAGGATGTTTGCTAGCTACCAAGTCAAATAGAAGCCGCTTCTGGAAGAGTAACCCTCTTTGCTCCAGTATCTTTCCATAGCCTGATCCACACTGATTTTTGTATCAACGATACTTCTCTTAAGTTAATAGAAGTGTGAGACCTTTTTCTAATTTTCCTAGATGGTGATGTCTTTTATTTCTTCTTTAAAATTTCCTTTTTGACCATTTTAAGGTAGAGAAGCTCTACAAACTTTAACTCCAGTGATTTTCCAATTAACCTTAATTCCTTTAAGTGTATCTATTGATAAAACACATTTATTGGTGCCATTCTTTTTCCCCTTTGGTTTAGATAACCTCAAAATCTCTGACTTTGGTTTGGCAACGGTGTTTCGGCATAATAATCGTGAGCGTTTATTGAACAAGATGTGTGGTACTTTACCATACGTTGCTCCAGAACTTCTAAAGAGAAAAGAATTTCATGCAGAACCAGTTGATGTTTGGTCCTGTGGAATAGTACTTACTGCAATGTTGGCTGGAGGTGAGAGCTATTTAATCATGACAAAACTCTTCTCCTATGGAAAGATAAATTTATTATAACAAAATAAATAAACCAATGGACTCCCTATGCATACGATAATATTTTAATAGTAACTTGTTTATAACTAACTTGAAAATTTTAATTCCAAAGATTTTTTTGAGAGGTATGTACAACTATTAAGTGGAATATCATGGTAGTAATTTCTTTTAAGATTCATGTAACTGCATTTGAAATGAGTAGAGCAGGAAGTGATTCATCGGCTTTGAAGTACCTCTAAAATTTCTGTGAGTTGGCATTCTTAATTTGAAAAGCCTAGTGAATTAATTTAAAGGAACTTTCAATGGATTTGTATTCATTATTTTCCTTAAAATCCTTAGTATGTAATGTTACAAACACTGGGACCTGTTTTTTTTTTTTTTCAGAATTTTTTTTTTTTTTTTTTTTAGAATTGCCATGGGACCAACCCAGTGACAGTTGTCAGGAATATTCTGATTGGAAAGAAAAAAAGACATACCTCAACCCTTGGAAAAAAATTGATTCTGCTCCTCTAGGTAACTAGGTTATCTTGATTGAAAGTACTGATTTCTTAGATAGTGAAGTCTAGTGCTATTTGAATTTTTTCCTTTTTAACCTGTAAATAATTGTGTAAATGATCCATGGTTCTTGTAGATAAATTATAAAATATAAGCAAAAAGTAAGGGAAAAAACTCCTATGGCCCCAGCAATCAGAAATAGGTTCTTTTAATGTACTTTTATTTATAATAAAAATATGCAAGTATATATGTCATGTATTATTTATATGTATGTGTGTTTTTACAAAAAATGAGATCACAATACATAAACTATTTTGTAATGTTTTGTTGTTTAATGACTAGGTTGTGATGGTATTCTACTATATTGATATGCCTTACTGTACTCATTTACAGTAAGTTTACTTTGTTACAGAGATTTAGTTCACTTTGTTACAGAGATTTAGAATTTTTTCCTGATTTTTCTCTGTTATGAAAGAGCTATGATGAGCATCGATATAATTGAATCTTTACACATGCTCTTAAATGATTTAGTTAAAGCAAAGCCCCAGGAGTGGATTGCAGGTATAAGGATTTATGTTATTTTTAATTATTATGGCTTACTTTGCCAAATTGCTTTTCAGAAAGCTTGTGCCATTTTATTATAATCTCATGACTTTGATGTTAAAAAAAATTGGACTAATCTAGCAAGACTATAAAAATATACACTATTTTTTACTTTTACTTTAAATTTAGTAGCAGTGATGTTACATATCCATTATATATTTATTAGCTTTTTGTCTATTTTTGTGGATTATATATTTTGTGCATTTTGGCAGACAGATTTTCTTAGTACTTTGTGTGAGTTTTTTTTAATGTCTTATTGTCATTAGATTTTAAAGAATTAGTCATTTAATTTTATTGATGCCATTTTGACATAGAGACATCTTACATTTTTGTTTATTCAAATCTATTATCTTGTCCTTTATGGTTCCTAACTGTCATGTTTGGAGAGGTTTTTCCTACTGCTGATATTAGAAAAAAAATTCCCTTTGTTTTCATGGCTTCCAATTTTACATTTAAATCTTTGGTTCATTAGAAAATGGTTATGGTATTGGGGAGATATATGAATTCTTTATGAAGATAGTTAAGATACTTTAGAATGACAGTTGCTTATTCTCTCTTAACTTATTGGAAAGTAACTTTTCCTTATAAAACTGTGTGAGAGGACTTAACATGACATACTGGAACCACAAAATTTGGTATTGAAAATAGATGAGGGTTCTTTTGTATCTTTTTTTTTGTTAGTGACTTGCAGGGAGAAATGTTTATACCAGGCTCTAGTTCTGCTTATTTGCAAATAACTGAGAATCAGATCTGGGATGAATATTGTAAGAAAGAAAATCTGCATGATATTAAAACAGTCATTTTAGTAGCTTTATTCTTTCTCTTCCCCAGAAATAATGTTTGGACATAAGCAGGACAATGGGGAATGTGTCCCAGACTACAAACTTTAGGCCTTTTTTCTAATCTGCATGACTCTTTTCAAATGTTCTCTTAATGTTTTGTTTTCAGCTCTGCTGCATAAAATTTTAGTTGAGAATCCATCAGTAAGAATAACCATCCCAGACATCAAAAAAGATAGATGGTACAACAAGCCCCTCAAGAAAGGTACTATCCTTAAAATACAAGTTTTTTTCTTTCTGTGATAGAAAAGGTATTGACAAGTCAACAACATAAGATAGCTGTGATCTCTGTCCTCATGGAGATTACAATGTCTAGAAGGAAAATCATAAATACAAAAAACAATTTAAAGTTTATTAATAATTATAAGGTGGAAGTCAAAGTACAATATAAGTGTTTGACTAAATCTTCCTGAAGAAATCACATTAAATCTAAAATTTGAAGGGTAACAGGGAGCTAGCTAAAGAAGTACTGGTAGGATGAATGGAATATTCTGATTAAAGGAAGCAGCACTTGGATTGTCTCGAAGTTTAGAAAGTGGTGGTGCAATTGAGGACTTAAAAGGAGGCCAGTTTGGCATGGCCCTTTTCTGGCTTGTGTCACCAGTGGTTAGTACCATGTGTGGTGCTTGTAGGCACTCAGTACATGTTTATTGCATAAATGAGAAGGGGGGAAAGGGAAGAGGTTTGAGATGAGGCCAGCGAAGTACATAATAGCCAAGTTGTGGAGGACTATTTAGGCTACATTAAGGATGCGGGGATTAAATGAAGGCCAGTGGAGAAGCCTTTGGGAGATTTTAAGCTAGGAAATGACATGATCCTAAATTTGGTTTTAAAAGCTCTCTCTGGCTACCTTTTTTTTTTTTTTTTTTTTTTAATGTTTTCGACCCTAGAGATGAGAAGTTAGTGGCATGGGCTAAATTGATGACAGTGGGATTAGAAAGAAGAGAGATTACAAAGAAATTTAAGCACTAGAATTGGTGATTACTTAAAAGTGAATAATGGCAGAGAATGTGGAATTAAGGATGACTCATTGGTTTCTGGTTTTAACAATTGTGTAAAGGGTGATAGCATGTATTAAGATGTAACTCAGGAGGAAAAACAGATTTGGGGGGACTTTTTTTTTGGTTTTGGACATACTGAATTTGAGAAGTTAGGTAGCATTGTTTAATAGGAGTATGTTTTTGTATAAAACTCAGTGTGGGACTTGGCTTGAGATGTTGATTCAGGTGTTTTTTTGCAAATTGATGGTAATTTAAGCCATGGGGGTAGATGAAATTAAGTGTAAAGAATTTTAAGGAATGCCAGTATCTAAGTGGTAAGTGGAGTCCAGTGAGACAAAAAGCTGCCTTCTGAGGTGATAGGTGTGAGCTCAAGTGCAGGTGGGGATTTGATAGAGAATTGAAGGGAGGAAAAGATGGGTGGAAATGCAAGTAAATTACCATATTTGGTAGTTGCAAGTTGAGGGCGTTTCTAATGACTTTATTTTCTTTGTGAAATGAGAGATGATATCCTGTGCTAAGTAACAAGGTGCTGGAGGGTGGTCTTGGAAATTTGATAGAAGTGTAGAAGTTATTAAATGATCATTGTAGAGAAAGGGAAAGGAAACTGGCTAGAAAAAGTCTGAAATTGTTGAGCATCAGGTGACGGTAGTAACTGAATTTACTGTGGCATTGTTTTCTTTATAATTATTCTTGGTAAAACTTTTCCAGGGAGAGGTTGAGGTCAAAGAATGTTGTGTAGAGCAGATTCATAATATTTATTGCAGTTGTCATAGTTTTTTATTTTCAATCTTTAGCTAGGTCTCTGTCTTCATAGAACATTACTCTGTTACCATGAATGAAGCCATTAAAATTATGGCATTAACATGATATCCCACTCTTGAAACTTACTTACAGGTTAGGATCTGTGAAATGTATAATTTGACAGGTATGAATCCTAGTAAGTACATAATGATACATTTCATGTAGGAAGAGCCACTGTTTGTCTTGTAAGTATTTTGTATTAAATAGATGGATTTAGATGTGTTTTTTCTTTTTCAAGTTTCCATTGGGTTGATTTTCAAATATCTGCATAAAATATTTGAAAGCATTTATATTTGTTTTCCTTTTCCAGGGGCAAAGAGGCCCCGAGTCACATCAGGTGGTGTATCAGAGTCTCCTGGTGGATTCTCTAAGCACATTCAGTCCAATTTAGACTTCTCTCCAGTAAACAGTGCTTCTAGGTAAGATTAATTGATAAAAATCAAATAGTTGAATATACTATTTCCAGTGAAAAATAATGAATAATTTTTCTGAAAAGTGAATAATTTTATCATTGTGAGAATGGGAATATGAAGTAAGAAAGGCCTGATGGATTTTATGTAAAGGTGTATTTTTTTCCCCCATATTTTAATACCTCAGTGAAGAAAATGTGAAGTATTCCAGTTCCCAGCCAGAACCACGGACAAGTCTTTCCTTATGGGACACCAGCCCCTCATATATTGATAAACTGGTACAAGGAATCAGCTTTTCCCAGCCCACATGTCCTGATCATATGCTTCTGAATAGTCAGTTACTTGGCACCCCAGGATCCTCACAGGTAAGGGGATAAAGCTTTTAAAATAAATAATAGAAGCCCTTCATTTTTTATTTTCTTGAAGTCTTTTTTCTCATTTAATGTATAAATCCTAGAAATACAGTATTAATATTTGATACAGATTTTTTTTTTTGGACATGGAGGAGGCCTTCGTATTTAAGAATCTTAAGTCACAGAAAAGATTTTTCAACTAAATGGCTATGATATGACTGCTTTTGGTGATACCAGATTTATTTAGCTTTCCTCTATTTGATATGTAGAACCCCTGGCAGCGCTTGGTCAAAAGAATGACACGGTTTTTTACCAAGTTGGATGCAGATAAATCTTATCAGTGCTTGAAAGAGACCTGTGAGAAATTGGGTTATCAGTGGAAGAAGAGTTGTATGAATCAGGTATGTTTCATTAATTTTCATTATCTCTTCTGAATTTTAAATATTTGAGTAAAAAGCTATCATTATCATTAATGTATACATTAAAAATATGCATTAAAGTATACATTTTAAAGTATACATTTAAAATATACATTTTAAAGTATACATTAAAAATACAGAGTAATTAAATTGAAAAATAAACTACTGTAGTTGAAGGAATTAAAGTAAAATGTTCTTATATTTTAAACTGTAACAGTATTGTTCATTCTCTAAGAAAGATGAATGCATTAACAATCTTACATTTTCTCCCATCTCACCTGCTCCCTCTTACCAGTTTTTGTTGTTTACATTATAGCATATTTATAACAATCATGAAAAATAAGTAGAGGGTGATATTTTGTATTAATGGGACTAAAGAGGACTCTTACATAATGCAATGCATGATCTTTCTGTAGATCGCAGATTTAAAGGGCAAAAGCTACAAAGGATGTTATTGGGACAACTGGAGGAATGTGAATATGGGCTGTATATTAGGTGTTTTTTCAATCTGTCAAATTTCTTGGGTGTGGTCATACTGTGGTTTATAGAATGTCTTTGTTCACAGGAGAAATATTAAAGTGAAATTGAAGTGAAGTGTATTATGTCTATAACTTAGTTTAAACACAGTTCGGGGTCTTGGCTGTTTCTTTCTACATCTCTCAACTAGCCTGGGCTGCTTTATAGATCATAGGAACATTCTAAAGCACTAACAGTGGAAGTTGCAAGGCCCCGCAAGACTTTCACATCTTCTGCTGCAAATCTGACTTTTTTTTTTTACTCTTATGTTTTATTTATTTATTTTTGGGTTTTGCCATACATGTGCTTTTCAGTGTTTTCCATGATTTATTAAAATAAAAGCAGTTTCAGTATCTTCATGAATAGTAATTTATATTCTCTGCATTTTTTACATTTCAAAATTCAAGAATATTAGTAATTTCAGATTCACTGCATATTGAACTACTGAGGTTTATCTTAAAAGGCAATTCTTAAGCAACTGTAAAAATCGGACTCTTCCTACATTTTTCTTAAAGAATAGGTTTTATAACAAAGGCCCTTTTTAAGAAATCTAATTCTACAGCACATAATTGAACTTTCCAAGCATCATCTCTCCCTTAAAAGAAAGACATATCTTTTAAAACTCTGTATGCTTACAGTAGTAATTTAAAATTAAATTCAACTAACAAATCTATAAACACGTTTGCCTTTATTATTCACTATTAAAGCAAGTTCTCATAAAGACTCACAATATGAACAGGAAACTTTGGGTATGTTATTAAAAGAATTATACATCCCTTTATCCCCCAGAATCAGTCAAGGCATTGAGCCTGGTTCTCTAAAGCTGTGGCAGTGCTGCCACATCCTTAGAAAATGTAATTAAGCCTCCTGTTTAAGACATTAAATGATGTCTTAAATTTAAGACATCAACAAGAGAAAGACACTTTTTCATGGACTGTTCCTATAGAGAACATGAGTGTGGGATGCTGGTTGTTTTTGAGATAATTTAGTGCACAAGCTGGATAGTGAGTTCTTTCTGCAATAACCAAATGACGGTTTAATGCTATTATCAACAGTTCATGACCCATCAGCAAGAAAGGCAACTTGATTAGAATAAATACTGCTGACCTCAAAAAGGAAAAAAAAAAAGGAACAATTCACTCCTTACTTTATTAACATCTGTTCTTTGGTATGAAAACATAAAAAACAAATCTTTAAATTAAAAAATATTTTTAGAGAACTCAGTTTGCAAATTTTGAAGATACATGATTTTGTAAGTTCAAGATGTCATTTAAAATATTTGCATTATTTTCTTAGCATTATAAACTAGGGTTAAAATAAGATATCATTGTGGTTATAAAGTTCACTGTTAGACTCTTCTTTTTTACACAAGTTTCAAAAATAACCATAGGTAATAAGGATCATATTTCCTTTCACATGCATAGGCATAAAGTATTTCATTTTCTTGGTATAATTATAGTATATCCACTTCCACCTCAGCCTCTTTCTGTTTTACACAGTGGGCCATTTTTGATGGGATGTAATTCTAAAGCCTGTCATTTCAAAAGAGATTATTTTATGTTGCCATTTTAAGATTTCTACCAGAAATGGGGGCATCCCATTTTTTCAGTTTCTTTGGTCAGTTGTTTAGAAATTGCAGGATTGATAGTAATAGCCACCCTTTCTTCACTGTTTTTAGAATTTCATTTGCTTTAGAATAACTATTTTCTATTGCTTTCACACTTATTGGGAACATTGTAATAATTCTGTCAGCTTTTTAGGCTAGGGAAGACACTACCTGTTCACCTGCATCTTGAAACTCTTGGCATGCATCAGGGAACACATCATAAATAATAAGTGGATAGCAAGGCTTCATGAGATTTTTTGTCATTGGATTCCCCATGTTGCCTAGTGCAATGAATCCAACTGGAGTCTTAGAAGCCACTGACCTAGAACATACCACTGCTAGGCTGACTGCTGTCCTGCCAGGCTCCAGAGGTGACTCCTCAGAGCTACTAAGTAGGCTGTCATGCTCCCTGGCTTCTCTTCCCAGTGGTGACCTCCACTGCTCCCGCCTCACCCACTTACTGCCTTCACTTATACTTTAATAATTGTGTTTTCCCTTAGTCTATTTTCACTTTCTTCAGTTGTTTATTACAGTTACATTTTGGTAAAATACCAAACTTATTTTTGTTGCTAAGAGTTCATGCAGAATCAAACCCTGGTAATGTTGTACCTGTATACAGGTTGGTCTGGGTTAGGCATGCACACATCTATTAGTCGGAGAAGACCCTGGAAGGTGTGAGATTTTCACTTTGTTATAGAAGTCCCTCTCAAATTTTTATACCAGTAGTATAGTTAACTTGAGATTGTAGTGTTTGCTTAGAGTATTCTCTACCCACACATATAGGTTAACCTTATTTTTATTGCCTTAGGTTACTGTATCAACAACAGATAGGAGAAATAATAAACTGATTTTCAAAGTAAATTTGGTAGAAATGGATGAGAAGATCTTGGTTGACTTCCGTCTTTCTAAGGTAAGTAGAACAGCAATGTTCTTCTTGTAAACCTTGTTTTGTATTGTTAAGGGAATATTACATGTTCATTATAGAAATTTTTTAAAAATTATGAAGAACATAATAAAAATCAAGTTTAATCTCACTATCTAGAGGTGATGTAGATTTATTTTTTAGTGTATTTCATTATTTTTTAGTATATTTCATTTAGTATATTTCATAAATATATTTCATTAGTATATTTCATGGAAATACTCTTATGTGAAGAATTTTTTTTAATGGCATTATATTTGTATATACATGGCATTTGTACATATCTGGTAACTTGCTTTTTCCATTTAATATTATAGACATTTGTTCTTAACATTCTCTAAAACATATTTTTTTAAAGTGACATTTTCCTTATAAAAGGTTTTGTTTCTTATGGAAAACATAAATAAGTAGGAAAATAAAAATAATTGTAAGTTATACTGCCTAGCAGCAGTTACCCTGAATATTTTGAAGCCTTCTAAATTTTTTCTTACTAAATTCATACATATACTGTTTTATAAAGATTTGTCAAAAAAATTGTATTTTATTATTAATAAATCTTTATCTGTTAAAAATTATTCATGATTAACATTTTTATACCTAGTTTTATTTATATTTTTGATCATGTCTTTAGAAATTATTGGTTCTGAGTTTATGGGTTTTTTTTTTTTAAGATTTATTTATTTATACAAGAACCGGGATACAGACCAGATGTGCGGGAGGGTGAGAGGATTCACCAGAGACAGAGCAGGGAACAGAACAGGCAGACTGACAAAATACACTGCTGAGGGGAGCAGCAGGCAAGACAGGAGAGATCTGCTGTGTCATTTGGGTTTCTCCCCGGCCAGCCAGGATCGAACCTGTACTGCAGAGGCTGTGGACAGCTTCACAGTGCAGCACTCAACCGCCCGCACCACCAGGGAGGCCATGAGTTTATAGTTTTAAATATGAGACCGAAATAGTATTTTCTCTATTTTCTGAGAGATTATACATGGTTCTAAAGAAGATTGGAGAAGTAAATTAGTCTTTCTACTGGAGACTTACTGCAATACTCATGTCCAGATGCTTGGATTAAATAACTGTGATCCCAGTATAATGAAAACTTCTCATTAACTGAATCAGTGGCTGTGTTGCCACAGTATTTTGCACGACTTTGTTGTAGTTGCATAGCTTATTTTTAGTTTACAAACCTGTCATGCCTTTTTCAAACAATAACTTAGTCCAGATACACAAACACATGAAATAGAAAGGATGCAGTGTTTCTGCTCACTGAGCACAGTGTGGTTGGAATAGTAGTAGACTCAAAATCGGGTCAGAATTGTTTATATAGTATTTCTTCTGCTGGGGTATTTGGTCTTCATAAGAGAATTTGGAACTGTAGCTGGACATACCTAAGGATATTGGCCTCTTCTCATTAAGAAGTTATTTGATTTTATGGCATAGTCTTCTTTACATTGATTGGATATTATTCCTAATACAGGGTGATGGATTGGAATTCAAGAGACACTTCCTGAAGATTAAAGGGAAGCTGACTGATGTTGTGAGCAGCCAGAAGGTTTGGCTACCTGCCACGTGATACGTCCATTGACTCCAGGGAATCCTGGCAAATACAGTGCTGCTATGTTGACATTATTCTTCCTAGAGAAGATCATCCTATTCTGCAAACTGCAAATAGTCCCTGAAGAGTTCTCTTCCCTCCTTAGCAAACATTTTTTCATTCTTTATGTATGTTCTGCTTACAGATGACATCTATGTTTTAATTGTAAGTAAGATTTTGGGAAAGGGTTGGATAGAATTCATTAGCTATTTCTTTGTGGTTAGTGTCTGAATTTGAGACCCATCTGTTGGAACCCAAGCTTTAAGGGGACATGAGTTTCTTAGCTCTTAAACCAACATAATGAAAGATGTTACCTTATCCCATTTTTACAAAACATTTTGTATTCTCTTAAAAATACACATTTTCTCCTGATTTAATTATATGGATAAATTCATAAAAGCCAACCCTTATGTCTTTTGGGCAGTAGATTTATTAGTCTGTAAAGTGGAACCAACTTCAAAGAATATATTCCCAAGATTTGTACTCAAATTTTCAAAAGGGTGTGACCAGGTATATTAATGTTTTTTAATTATAACTCAATAAAAATTGCAACTAGGCATGTTTTTTGCAGTGTAGTTAATAATATATAAAATACTGATTGACCTTTGAAATAGAAGTTGAGCATATTCTCTAGTGCTTAACTACCTTTATTCTAAAATTACTGTTGCACATTTAAAAGATTTTTTCTATATTATTTTCTACTTTCACAGCCATATTTTAAATTCTTTATTACAGAAATAAATTCTATTTTGAAAATGAATAGCTAACTCTGTGAACTTACTGGTGACTAAGCTTCTAGGTAGTAAGGAATAAAAAATGAGGGAGAAGTATAGGAAGATAGAATAGAAATAGACCTGATGACTGTTTCTTCTACCTGTTAGTTTTCCAAAGACTTTATTCTGCTAAATTTTATATTAACTTTTGCTGTATTAGGTTTAGGTCCTATATCCACCTCCTTTTTTTGTAATTTATAAAATTATCTTACTCTGAAGGCAAGAACATGTGAAATTTAGTGGTTAGAGTTTATCATATATTAGTGTTTGCTGGTAAATTATATTGCTACAGTATATCCATAGAAAAAATAAATGTGAACAAATAGATGGCTTCTAAAAATTGAGCTAATATATTCTCAAATATGAAAGAAATTTTGCTCTTGAGAATTGTCAGCCAGCCATGGTAAGTCTCAGAAACAGTTATCTCAGGTTTTGAACTCTCCTGTAGACTCTAGTTTTATAGTCACAGTCTAGCTGATCTTTCCACTTGACTCAGTCAGTTAATGACCAAAATCAACTTTTCCTTCTGTCCTCTCACCTGTTCCTCCCTCCTTTGCTCCATCTCAACAAATGCTGCATTCAGCACCCACCTACCCCCCATCTTTTAAGCCAAAGTCCTTGAAACCAACCTTGACATGATTTTCATATTCTCCATTCAATTCAGCAATTCCTATTCAGTTTAGCAAATATATCCAAAATGTATCCTACTGTGTACACTTAGTTGAAGGCACTGTTATCTCTCTTTTTTTTTTTTTTTTTTTTTTGTTATTTGTCCTGTAGCAGTTCAGAAAAACAGTCAGCGTGATCCTTCTAAAATATGAATTTAGGTATCTTTCCCCTGCTCTCAACTCTTGTGACTCTTCATCACACTTCAAACAAAATTCAAAGCATCTGTGACTTGCATGCCGTCTGTCTTACAGCCATCTCTTTGGCCTCACTTGCCATTCCTACTTACTCATCCTGCTTCAACCACGTTGGGTTTGCTGTTCTTCTCACAAGATAAGCACATTCTCATATTTTGACTTGCTGTTCCCTGAACTAGGAGTACTTTACTCCCAGATATTTATGTGACTTGTGCTTCACTTTAAGTCTGCTTAAACAACACAGTCTTTCCCTAACTTATCTAAAATACTAACACACACACATGCACACCCCTGCCATGACACTTTTTCCTTTATTTTTCATCATAACACTTAGTATAAGATATCTATTGTCTGTTAATCCCATTGGAATATGTAATACATGAATTCTTTGAGGTCAGGGACCCTCTCTGACCTGTTCTCTTTTGTATCCCCAGCACCTAGAACAGTGCCTGATAAGTTACAGCATGCCGTAAATTGCTTCACAAAGAAATAGAACTCATTTGATTCGATCTACTCTCAAAATACCTGGAAGCCAAATATTTCTCTCCATTTAAATTGCTGCCACCCTAATTAAAATGCCTTCACGTCATCTCTTCACTGGATTTCTATTATTAAAAGTGTCTTCCCTCTTCTTCCTTTTGCTATTTTCTAACCCTTTCCCTCAGTCTTTTCTTTATATAGGTCCTAAGTTGTTGGTATTTTTTTTTTTTTAAGGCAAATTATACTTTGGTATTCCCTTGCTTAAGAACCTCCAGTGGCTTCCCATCGCATCTAGAACTGGGATCTAAATTCTTTGCTCTGACTCACCTGTCCCTGTATGCTTCCCCTCTCTCCTCTGCTCATTATACTGCAACCTCCTTTCTCTTAATGTGAACTTATTCCCCTTTCACAAACTGGGTGTTTATAGCTTCCTCTGTCTAAAATCCCTTCCAATCCTTTGCATGACTTAGCATTCAAATCCCATCCCAAATGTTTCTTCTCCTACCAATCACTATCATTGTGCTTTCTTCATAGAACTTATCACTCTCTGAAATTATTTGTTTATTTTCTGTCTCTTCCACCAAAACAGAAGCTTATACTTCATTTTCACCCATAGAACAGTACTTGGAATATAGTGGATATTAATTGAATAAATGAATAAATTAAATATCAGATGAGGAAAATGCCACAGAATGTTACAAGGGGAAGGTGATTTAATGGATCATAAACAAGCTTTATCAACTATTGGAATTTGTGTAGGATGGTGAGAAGTTCAATTCAGATTTGTACAGACTAGCTCTGACATTTAATTGCCTCTTCAAAGAGACTGATAACTGCCTCTTAGAGTTGCTTTTAATCTTAAATCTGTTAATGTACCTGAAGAATGTAGTATGCCATGTTGTACAAAAAGGCATTCAATAAACATAAGTTGCCATAATTTTTCAGCAGTGTTCATTATGTGATTGGGAGAAGAAATTTACCCCATTATTAAAAGTAAGATTTGCTTATCAATGAAAATTTGTCAGGTGTATAAATGAGAGAAGGGTTTATCATCCAAAGTAACAGCTAAAATTTTGATGGAAAATTTTACCCTATGCTATGTGTATGTGTAGTGCTTGTGTGTGTGTGTGTGTCTTTGTGTGTGTGGTGTGATTGTTGAAATTATTATAAGTATATAAAGAATGTTCTGTTTAACCAGCAATCGTAAAGTTAACATCTGCTTAGCAGCAACTCAGTTGAAGAAAGACCATTTCCAGACCCCAGAAGCCTTGGCATTTTTTCGTTCTCTATCAGCCCATTCCCCCCAGAAGTGATCACAAAATTTGCTTCTGTGTGTGATGACCCTCTCCTTGATTTTCTTTAATTTTCTCAGCTGTTTCAACTGTTTCTAAACCTTATATAAATGAAATTATGCTCTTTTTTTATATTCATACATTTAATTCACTGATTTTTATCACAATATAAGATACCATATATGAACATAGTTCATAATATTGTTCATTCTACTGCTAATGGATATTAGGATTGCTTATTGCTTGATAATATTATTAACAATCTTGTTAAGAACACTCGATACCCAGGAGTTTCTCTAGGCCCTAAAGATAAGGGTATACACTTAGGAAGGAAATTGCTAGGTTTTAGAATATGCATATCTTCAACTTTTGTAAAATAATAGCAAACTGTTTTCTAAAGTGCCTGTACCTATTTATACTGCCATATGAAAAGAGTCTGCAATTACTAGGGAAAATTTGGAAGGATCTATTAAAATATAAGAATAGTCATATCAGAAGAATATGTTTTTAGTGTTTCCAATTTTCACCTGTATTTGATGTTATTCTGATTTTTTTCCAAGTTGTTTGTATGCAATATATCCATTTGGTATTAATTTGCTTGTTCCTAAGTTTGAATGTTTGAATATCTTCTGAAGTGCTCATTTCAATCTTTTACTTATTTTTCTGAATTTCATTTCTTCATGTGTTCAGTGTTACTGGTTTTTTGTCAGTGACACAGACACAGAATGTCTCCCAACCTGTGGCTTATTGTTTCATACTTAATGGGCATTTATAATTTTAATGTAGTTCACTTAAGAACTTTCCTCTGCCTAGTGCTTTTTGTTTCTTATTTAAGGACTCATTCCCTATTCAAAAAATGAATATTTTCTCTATATTACCTTTTTCAAAGCTTTAGCATTTTGGCTTTCACATTTAGTTCCCCAATTCACCTGAAAATGGTTTTGTGTATAATGTGAGGTAGAGGTCAAAATTCATTTCACCCTCCTGCCCCAATAGTCATTTCACCCACCTGTCGCTATCATTGAAAAGATGATCATTTTTCCCTTGCTCTTCACTAATATCCATTCAGTATTCAGACTTCCAGTTCTTATTTTTTTTATGATATGTTTTGAATCAGCATCCAATAAATACCATATTGCAATCGAGTGATGTCTTTTCAGTTGCTTTTGGTCTGTAAGTTCTTGCTATATATCCTTTTCTGATTTTTTTCAGTTTGCCCTATAATTTTCTTTGGATTTGGTGATTGCATTACAGTGGTACAATTTGACAGGTTTCCCCTAGTCTGTGTTTTTTGGTAAATACATACATTCAGGAATACTTGCCCTCTGTCAGTTGTATGTGCTGCATACACTTCTTTACTTATTGAGCCATGGATTATTTAGAATATCTTTCTGAATTTCCCAACCTTTGAGAATTGTTTTTTTTTATAATTTTTAATTGAAACAATTTATATTCTATAAAATTCAACTTTACAAGTATACCCATCAATGGTGTTTAGTGTATTCACAAATTTGTACAACCATTACCACTAATTCCTGAACATTTTCATCATTCCAGAAAGAAACCTCATGTTCATTAGAGCAGGAATTATGGAATTCGGCAGTACTGAATTGAAAGTGGTAAGGAGTGCTCTGTCTTTATGTGTCTTGACCTTGACATCTTTGAAGATCATATATAATTTTCCTCAATTTTGCTTTGATGTTTTACATGATTAGGTTCAAGTTTGCATTTTTGAAAGGAAGGCAGTTCTATTCAGTGATGATATGTTCTACTCAGTTATTGATGTTTGAGTGTTTTGTTTTCCTTTTTTTTTTTTTTATAAGATCTATTTATTTATATAAGAACCGGAGTACAGGCCAGATCCGAGGGCGGGTGAGAGGATTCACCAGAGACAGAGTGGGGAACAGAGGGGGGTGCTGAGGGGAGCAGCAGGCGAGACAGGAGAGGTCTGCCATGCCATGTGGAATTCTCGCCGGCCGGCCGGGATCGAACTCACACTGCGGAGGCTGCAGACGGCTTCACAGCACTGTGTTCAACTGCCTGTGCCACCAGGGGAGGCCCTTGTTTTCCATTTTGATCTTTCTTTGTTCTTCCTTTTCTGCCTTTGAGGTCGTCAAAGTTTTTTTCTATTGACTTTTTTTTTAGCTACACCTTTACCTACACCTCAGTACTTTTGATGAAGATTCTTAAGGGTTATACATATCACAACATTAAGATTTACTATTTCACCCAAAATAAAAAGTTTTCATAAGTTGCAGTTGCTTCCCCTGTTCTTATTATTGTCATACACATGTACTTACATTAAAAATTAATTTTTAAGCAGGCATGGTTTCTAAAGTAAGAAATGTTTTTTGCATGTCTTAAATTTATCCGTATACTTTACTATATCAATGCTCTTATGTTTCTTCCTGTAGATCCGAGTTTCCATCTTTGTATCATTACCTGTTACCCTGAGAAGGTTCCTTGAGCCTTTCTTTTAGTGTAGAATCTGTTGGCTGTGAATTCTCTTAGCTTTTTGGTTTTATGAAATGTTTGTTACCTTACCATCCTTTTTGAAGGACAATTATCTTGTTTATACTTCCTGGCTAGCATTTCTTTTTGGTTTTTTTTAATCATTTGTCTCTTTAAATATATCATTCTTGTGTTTTCTGCTCTTCGCTTTCTGATGAGAAATTAGCCAACATTTGTGTCATTGTTTCCCTGTATACCTGTTATAATGCTGTCTCTTTTTAGGACAGTTTTGAGTTTTTGTCTTTATCTTTGAATTTCATAATATGACCCCTTTGCATGCGCGCTTGCATGTGTGTGCCTCTGTGTGTGCGAGTCTGTGGTTTTCTTTGTATTTATCCTACCTTAAGTTCTCTGAACCCGTTAGATGTATATGTTCTGTAAATGCTAGTTACCACCCACTCCACACTGATAATCATATTTATCATCCTCATGGAAATAAACTTCTGAAGTCAGTGCCCATTTCATTCATTTGATTCTAAGCAAATAGTCGATACTTAAATCCAGGGATGAAAACCAACTAACCACAGCTTGTATTTCTCTATTAAAAAATTAAACATGTTCTCAGTTTGAATATTCCATATAAAAAATAAATATGAATGTAAAGCATCTTTGAGTCTTAGACAATTAAAATTTAAATTATATGGTGAGAAACTTGTTACTAATAAATGATTGTTTAAAATAAAAAAATTAAACTTGGAGATAAGTGCCTTTGTTGTCCCACCTACGATTGTTACCAATGAGGAATCTGTTAGATATATTTTGGGGGAAGGGCCCATAGCACTTATATACATAATTTTTTAAATTGACATAAAGTAAATTTTTTGGTATGCTCTTCCTAAGATTTCTTGAGGCATAAAACCAAAAGCCCTATCTATAAAAGAAATAATTGATACTAAAGACTTTTGCTCTTTTAGGATTACTAAGCTGATTTCAGGAGTGTTGGAACAGAGGCTTTGGGGGAACAATGGCTGAAAGGAGATGGGCTTATATAGGATGGGGAGGATAGTTTCGGCCTGGAAAGGCCCATTCTAGGTGGTATTCATCGTGTGCTGGAAACAGTTCAGATTGAGATCAAACGATATGGTTTTGAAATCTGCCCTGGCTTGCTGTGTGGTGCCATAACCTTGGCAAATTTGGGACAATATCAGTATTAATAAAAATCTCTATGTCCTATTTCCTTATATGTAAAATAAGTGTGAAACTATCTTTCCTATCTGTTTTTCTGGGATGCTTTCTGAGAATCGTCTGAAACCAAGCATGTGAAAACATGTTGAAGAACATGACTCTAATACGAGGAGAAGGGGACTATAATTGCATTTCCACCTGCCACTGTGGTAAGCAGATGATACAGTAATATTGTGAGAAAAAGATTTAAGCATTCTGGCCTGTTACCTGTTTGCACAGCAATAAAGAGTCATTTTATTGTTATAATTATGTTAAAAGTCTTAAAGAATGAAACCTCAAGTGCCAGAGAAGGGGTGGATTTTGGACACTATGTTAAATAGAAACGGGTAAGGTTTCTATAGATAGGATGAAAAAGTGGGAGGGAGTCAGAGAGAAGGATCCCCAGTATAGTTTCAGTTCATAAAATGTTAACACCGCTTTTGCATTCCTTCTGGTCTCTGCCCTGGAGCACTTTGATGGAAATGGATGGTTTCAGAAACATTTGATTTAGCGTGTGGAGTGGAAAGAAGCTCAGACCAACTCTGCACCTGACTGATGGGAAAAGAAATTTGTTTGGAGTCCATGTCTTTTAGCCATGAGGAATTTATTGAAAGGAAAGATGTTGAGAAGTGTGGTAGGGGGGCAGGGGAGGCAGGGCAGAGAGGGATGGGTAAGAAGGGAAAGATACTGGAGCATCCTGTCTGACCCTCAGGCAGAGGCAGATGTAATAAGTTGTTGGCTGGGGAAGAAATGAAATATAAATTGAGCCAGTAGGACAATGGAGGATTTTTGCTGCCTGAGTCACAGAAGAAGCAATGGCACAGGCTTCTAGATCTTGTTGCAGAAAGACTGATTCCGACAGCATATAATTTGCATCCTGGTTCCATGAGAGAAGAGGTTCATTGACGGGCACATGTTCTCACACCCCTGAACCATGAACTGGAGTTTTCCACCTGAAAGAGGCAGAAACAGACTTTAGTGAACAGACAGATTCCTCTTCCAATCTTAGCCTTCAGCCATAGCCTCCAGTGTCTTCACACAGGCGTGGCCAAGACATCCAACATGTATATCCTTTCTCCTGCTCACCTTCTAGCTGCCTCTTCTGGGCCCTTCCCCCTCTAGTTAGGGGCCAGACCACAAGGGCAGTCTGGCTGTGTCACAATGTGAAAGTTACCAAGATCTTAGGAGAATTAGAGTGAGCGCAAGGGTGGAGGTGTAGGAATGTGCTCAGGTCTGGCAACCTCTGAACACAGACGGGTAGACAGTTATTAGTTTATTCATTTATTTGATATTTACTAAATGCCTACCATGTACTAAACATTGTGTTAAGTTCTACTAATAGATATCCATGAATAAGACATAGCCCTGAGCTTACAAATGGCTGAAAGGAACGCACATTTCTTTCATAGGAAGAGCCAGGCCATCTCCCTGCCTCCTTTATTTATTTATTTTTTTACATAGCACTATGAAGCTATCTGCAGCCACTGCAGCATGAGTCCCTGCCCCCTTGAGGCCTGTTGGGAAGGACCTCTTCCTCCCCCATCAATAGCAGGAATTCTGCTCTTATTGAAAGGAAAGGTTCTCCTGAATCCCAAGTTCCAGGGGAATGAGAGCCCCCCACCCCCAGCACCAGGACTACCACCCCAACTGCTCCCCATCAGTGCTTGATAGATGTGTTCTCTGTCAAAGATTGCCTCACACAGTCCCCATGTACCTTCAAAGATCTTCTTTAACATGCACTGCTGGGAGTTCTGAGTGGTACAGACGCCCTCTCCACGAAGACATTTTCCTTGGTCATTCATATAAGAGCATGTGTGGCAATTCAACACGGGACCTAAAAATTTAAGATCGGCCCAATGAAATTCCTTTATACACCAGGCGTGTAGCCTTGGGTCACATCTCGGGAGGGATGAAAGGCAATAATACATAGCTTGGATACAACATGTTTTATTTCTTGGTGTTTGTTGGGAATCTGAGGCCCCCATGTGTGAGAGAGCATATTCTCTCTTCTGTACCTGAGGAAATTCTTTCATCCTTACTGCTTCACCTATGACTTTCATTGCTGACCAATCCCAAATTTTTTCTATAATACTTTATTTTTTTTTCTATAATACTTTAGCTCCAACTCATAGCCCCCACATTAGCTTCCTGGACATTTATAATTAGATGCCCTTCTGTCATGTCTAGGAACAAAGTAGAACTTATCACATGATAGACTCCATTCTAAGCACCCCATCATACTCTTCCAAGGCATGAGTACTTGGAATAAAATTGGAGTAATAAGCTGTATTAGCATGCTCTGATGGGGTCTCCCTGGTGGCGCAAGGGGTTAAGCACGGCACTGTGAAGCTGTCCGTAGCCGATCCCCAGCTGGCCAGGGAGCTGCCCACATGGCGCAGCAGACCTCTCCTCTCTTGCCTGCTGCTCCCCTCAGCAGTGTATTTCAATCAGTCTGCCTATTCTGCTCCCCACTCTGTCTAGTGAATGCTCTCACCCCCAGTTCTTGTATGCATAAATAAATAAATCTTTTAAAAAATGCTCTGATGTTGCAGACCCTATAAAGAGTCTGCATTCTTTTCCATGTTCAATTGAACTGGTCACCAAGGGCATTGTTTTGGAACTACCTACATATTGCCTCTTTTACTATCTCCACTGCCATTTCCCAAGTTAAGGGAGCAGAAAGGGGAAAAAATATGAACTTTGGAGTCAGAATGACCTAAACTTGAATCAAGTTTTGCTATGTCCAACCTCACTTGTCTCCCATGAAAATCTGGAATACAGCTACTTCTGCAGTGAGGCAAAATATGAAGTATTTATGTCTGGCAATAACTGGAGGCATCAGACATTGGTCTTGTTTTTCTTTGAACAATTCCTTTGTGGTAAGAGCCACAGAGTCTCAGTTGTCCTGGGAACTTCCTTCTGGATCTAACAGACACAAGCATCTGCATGCTTTACTTTCCGTGTTAAAAAAAGAAACAAGAGTGTCACCGACTCCAGGGCTAGGCATTTCTTTACTGGGTTTGCAAAGCATCCTAACTGTTTCTCAAGAGGCAGATTTCGCCTGCAGCTCATAAAAGGTAGCTGTGGGCATTTGTATTCATGTTTTAATGTTAGAGTGGGATTGGGGGCACTGCTGGTAGTTAGCATTTGTGTTGTATTTCTAGTTTTGTTTTTTTTTTTATAGAGGCATGTTTTATTTATTTATTTATTTTATTTGTTTGTTTGTTTTGTTTATACAAGCACTGGGTACAGTCAGAAGCGCGGGAGGGTGAGAGAATTCACCAGAGCCAGAGCGGGGAGCAGAGCAGGCAGAAGGACCGAAGTACACTGCTGAGGGGAGCAGCAGGCGGCAGGAGAGGTCTGCGCGCCACGTGGGACCCTCCTCCGGTGGCCGGGGAGCAGCCGGGGATCAAACCGGCGCCACAGAGGCCGTGGGCAGCTTCGCAACCCAGCGCTCAACCGCTGCGCCACCGGGGAGGCCCTGTGTTGTATTTCTTAAAGAGGGTCCTCCAAATTGTTTAGCCTTCAGGGTTCCCCACAAAATCTGAATCCTGCCTTCCAGTATTATTGTAAAGAGACATAAAAGTTTGGAAGAGCTGTCTGTGACCTATTCTTTCTTAGTGTTTCTTAATCTCGGGTTTCTTGCTGTGTGGCCTGCTTCCCACCTACCGTCAAGGACAGCACATGGGCGTGCAACTGAGACTCACCTGAAGGTGTACTTGAAGATGGAACAGCTGAAGGCTGTTCACCCTTACCACCTGAGGTCTGTTCAACTGCAGCCTGGTCACCTGAAGCTTGCTCAGCGGAAGACTTTTCAGCTGAAGCCTGCTCACTTGCAGGCTGCTCAGCAGAAGCCTTCTCATTTGAAGTTTCACCTGAAGGCTGCTCAGCAGAAACCTGTTCAGTAGAAGCCTGGTCAGCAGAAGCCTGGTCAGCAGAAGCCTGGTCAGCAGAAGCCTGGTCAGCAGAAGCCTTGTCACCTGAAGGTTCACTGGAAGTGTGTTCACTTGCAGCATGCTCCACTGAAGTGTGTTCACCTGTTGTGTGCTCAGAGATGGAGTGCTCATTTGAAGTGTGTTCAGCTACCGCGCGCTCGCCGGTAGCATGATCGCCTGAAGAGTGCTCCCCTGAAGCATGCTCCCCTGAAGTGTGCTCCCCTGAAGCATGCCCCCCTGAAGCGTGCCCCCCTGAAGCATGTTCAGTCGAAGCATGTTCAGCCGAAGCATGTTCAGCCGAAGAGTGTTCAGCCGAAGCGTGTTCAGCCGAAGTGTGTTCAGCCGAAGCGTGTCCAGCTGAAGCGTGTCCAGCCGAAGCGTGTCCAGCCGAAGCGTGTTCAACTGAAGCGTGTTCAACTGAAGCGTGCCCACCTGACGCATGTGCACTTAAAGAGTTCTTGTTTGACGATGTTTCATATAAAGCCTCAGCTTCTGAAGGCTGTCTAAGTGAAATGTACTCATCTGAAAGTTGCTGAATGGAAGCATGGCGATTCACAGGGTGATGAAGTCCACCAGAATGACCTGTTCCTGGAATGGAGGAGGACAGAGATGTTGGAAGGTGACAGAAAGGATGTGCAGGGTAGAATAGAGACTGCTTTCCTAGGGAGTAGGACTAGTGTGTGATTCCTGGGGTTCCTGTGGCCCTGATCAGGCACCTGAAGATATTCCAGATGTTGGAGGAAGCTAACTACCCAAGAGACCATGGACAGAGGTGTTAATGAAACCCAGAGGTCACCTCTGGGGTTGAAGGGAAGAATCCTAAGATCCACAACATTAAAAAATGCACAAGGGGACTAATTCACCCACGCCCCTAAAACACCCAAAGGGAAATCAATGTGCCATCACTCGAGTCATCACCACCATCCTTCCCTCCAGCTCCTCAGGGGGTAAAAGAGAAGAAGAATGAGATTCAAAAAGTTGCTTTTAATAGCTAAATAATTCTAGTGGAAATTGAGGGTGGAAAGTTTTAACCTTGGGCAGGTCAAATTTTAAACAAGAGATGACAAGTAGCTAACGAATCCACAACAAATATCAGAAGGGATCAAGGCCCCTTTCTTTGGCAAGTTCAAGTTCTCAGACACAATATCCAATACCCAGGAGCTTTTGTTCTCAAAAAGAAAAGTAACCTCCACTTTTTAAGATTAAAGCGCTCTGCTTATGTATCTGAGTTGAGGTTCCTTGTGAAGTACCGTTTGCACCCACTTGATGGCGCTCTCATGAGCATTCAACGAGATAACTTGTGAAGTGCCTCAGCCACTGCCTGAGGGCTCAGTTAATTTTAGTTTCTCTCCACCCCAACTGATTTTGGGAATTACAAAACTCTTAGCTAGCAGTCATCCTTTCCTGTCGAGTCTCTCCTAGTTGTTCCCTCAGTATGACTTTCATTTTATGGTGTGGTAACACCAAACAGACCATTTGATTACTCTTTGATTAAACTGAGGAGTTTAGAGGCGGCAGGCACAGTGAGTTAGTATTCCTAGCCCACAGCTGAGAGGAATGACCCACATGGCACAGCAGACCTCTCCTGTCTTGCCCACTGCTCCCCTCAGCAGTGTATTTCAGTCAGTCTGCCTGTTCTGTTCCCCTCTCTGTCTCTGGTGAGTCTTCTCACACCCCCCCCCCACACACACACCTCAGGCCTGCACCCCAGCTCTTGTCTGTATAAATAAATCAATCTTAAAAAAAAAAAAAGAAGTAGGAATGTCTAAAGTGTCAAGCTATGGGCCTCTGACAGTAAGGCCATAACTTGGCTGAATCTGTTGACTCAGGTACTCTCCACATTAGACTTGTTTGGCTATTCCTGACTTTGAACCAAATTGGTTTGGGTAACTAAGATACTGGTCTTCTTTCTTTGAAGACCGAAACACCTAAAAGAGGCCTCTTACATATTTTGCAGAGCCAAGACAAGAGGACTCACCTCTGGCAGATCCAAGCTGAAGAAGACTCATAACTAAGAGAAATTTCTTCATCTGGATGTAAGGGAGAGGGGACCCTGATGTGGTCCACCCAAGAGCAGTGAAGAAAAACTGAACAGAATCTCCCAGTGCTGAACAAGAGCTTTCTGGAAATTCTAGAACCTCAGAAACCAGCCAGGCTTCCTCACAATGGGTTGTGCTCTGAGGTACTCATGTAGCCAGTTCAAAGGGGGGCATTCTGACAACCCAGGGCAAACTGGCAGCAAAGGCTATTTTGCCTGTGTAAGGTGGTATGCTGGGGCTATCTGCCTTCTTTTTAAAAAAGAAGTAATGGGCCTCCCTGGTGGCACAAGGGGGTAAGCACCGCACTATGAAGCAATCCACAGCCTCTGCAGCACAAGTTCGAATCCCTGGCTGGCCAGGGAGAAACCCACGTGGCACAGCAGACCTCTCCTGTCTCACTCGCTGCCCCCCTCAGCAGTGTACTTCAGTCAATCTGCCTGTTCTGTTCCCCACTCTTATCTCTGGTGAATCCTCTCACCCCCGCACCTCTGGCCTATACCCCACCTCTTGTATGCATAAATAAATAATCTTTAAAATAATTTTTTTGCGGGCTTCCCCGGTGGCGCAGTGGTGGAGCGCTGGGTTGCGAAGCTGCCCGCAGCCTCTGCAGTGCCAGTTCGATCCCCGGCTGCTCCCCGGCCACCAGAGGAGGGTCCCACATGGCGCGCAGACCTCTCCTGCCGCCCGCTGCTCCCCTCAGCAGTGTACTTCCGTCCTTCTGCCTGCTCTGCTCCCCGCTCTGGCTCTGGTGGATTCTCTCACCCTCCTGCGCTTCTGACTGTACCCAGTGCTTGTATAAATAAATAAATAAATCTTTAAAAAAAATTTTTTTTTTGCAAAGGCTTACCCCACTTACCTTGAGTGGGAAGACAAAACTAGGATTCTAGGGCCTAGACTGGTCTCCCTTGGAGTGGAGAAGAACATGGAAGGCCACACTGTCAATAGTTCCTTTCCTTCAGGTGAGTGAGATGGAGCAACAGCTACGGGGTCACACAGGGTCAGACTTCTGTTGATAGAAGTAGTGGAAGCTGTTGGAAAAGAAGAGGTGCTCTCTCCACCACCCACCAGCTATTTAAGGCTTGGCGGCACCCCTCTTGACAATCATCAGAAACTTTCTGAGACATCCCTGCTGCACCCTCTCCAGGAGGCACAGGATTGGAAGACAGGACCTCAAACCTGAAATTTCTCTCCTTAAGCCTTATCCTCCAAGTTTTTTTTTTTTAAGATTTATTTATTTATGCATACAAGAGCTGGGTTGTAGGCCAGTGCAGGAGGGTGGGCGGTGAGAGCCTTCACCAAACAGAGTGGGGAGTAAAACAGGCAGATATGCTGAGATACACTGCTGAGGGGAGCAGCAGGTGAGACAGGAGAGGTCTGCTGTGCTATGTGGGTAGCTCCCTGGTCAGGGATTGAAGGCTTGCTGCAGTGGCTGCAGATAGTTTCATTGTGCTGAGACTTAACCCCTTGCGCCACCAGGGAGGACCTTTATTAAACTCCAAGTTTTCCTCCCTCTTTTCTTCAGCTTGGCTTTAGAGGACTATATCCCAACCCCACCCAGGCTGGCGGCCCTGGGCTCTGAGTTGGAAACCTGTCCATGTCCAGTAGTCTGGCCCTGCAAAGCCTAAGCTGTGAGTGCCTGAGCACATCAGATAGGAAAATGTGTGATGGAGAATTTGCTCTGGAACTTGAAGAGCTCTGGAGCTAACACATCCAAGGTATTCCGGCCGATGCCTCCTTCCTCCTCCAACCTCTTCCACCCCAATGAACGGATGTTCCAGGGTCTAACACCCTGAGCTGAACCAAATACAGAGACATTTAGCTCTAGAGAGCAGAGGTGAAAGGTGTTTGAGGCTCACGTGCTGAGAGCACTATTTGGGGGCCAGAGAGAGGCTGAGCAAGACAAGCACAGGAAGGAGTAAGAGAAGAGATGAGAGATAGTACCAGTTTGCCTTGAATAATGGCGGTGCTAGAGAGAGAAACGTGTAGGCATCCATACCACCTGCTCGAGGCCTCTCAGAAACCCCAGCAGTCTGTGACCTGGAGGTTGCTTCTACCTACAGGGAAATCCTAGTATGGTGAACCTGTGGCCTTAGTTTCCATGCTAATTGTCAGGTATTCTGCCGTGGTTGAAGTCAGAGGAGCAATGATAACTTGCTGTGTGTATCGTGTCCTTCCCTGCTGGTGACTGATAAAAGATTAGCAGTAATTTCCTACAAGGGCCCACTTGGCCCTGAAGTCTCGGACCTCTGCTGCCTTTGGCTAAGCTCAAGTCTTGCCCAGGAATGTTTCCTGAGGCGGGAACCCTCCTGCCGAGGATGGACACACAGCCATTCCTCCTCTCATCCTAGACTCTGCCCGGGAACCAGGCTAAGTCCTGTAAACGAGGGTAGGGAGGAGAATTAGCACAAATGAAACTGCTCACTAAGTTACCATGGTACCTACCTATTCTTACATTTATGTCACATAGCAGAGCAGAGGATTATAGAAGAATTTTTTTTGAAGATTTATTTATTCATGCATACAAGAACCAGGGTAGAGGCCAGATGTGTGGGAGGATGAGAGGATTCACCAGAGACAAAGCGGGGTACAGAACAGGCAGGCTGACTGAAACACACTGCTGAGGGGAGCAGCGGGCAAGGCAGGAGAGGTCTGCCTCGCCATGTGGGTATCTCCCTGGCCAGCCTGGCTCAAACCCGCACTGCAGAGGCTATGGACAACTTCACAGCACCGTGCTCAACTGCCTGTGCCACCAGGGAGGCCCTATAGAGGAATTTTATGGGCCACACAGGCCCTGCACTCAGAAAAGAGGGAAGATGTGAGGCAGGGATTGCAGGGGCATTATCAGGAATCTGGGCAAGGATAGGGCTGCTGGCACTGCAGGCACACGGGGCTGGGGGAGAACCCAAGAGACATTATCTGTTGGAATGTGAGCTGAATGACTAATAAAAATGATTTTTCTGTAACCACTCCACTCAACCGTTTTGACTTTTACCATGTGACTCCTTCCACCTGAGCATTATCTCATCCTTATCCCTCTTAACTTTCATCCCTCCTCGGGACAGGATTTGGGTTTATGCCTGAATGTGAACTCCCTGAATTTGCAGCTCTTTGATCCCAAATATTGTTTTGCCTTTTTAGTGACCTGCTGAATTTTCAGGTGGACACAATTGCCTTAGATTAACTACATTTGTGTATTTATTAAAGTGATGCGTAGTCTCCACTCCAAGATCCTGATGTTATCTGCCCCCACCCTGAACTCACATGCTGTGTTGAGTTCCTCAGCTCCCCACAGGCTAACAATCTTATCTGTCTTTTCCACTGCAGGGAGGACTGAGGGCAGGAGCTGGGGACAGTCCCTCAGGGAGTGGAGAGAAAAGAATCCCCTAGGGCTGGGCTGAGCAGCAGGCCACTCTCCCTCCTATCCCCATCCAGATGAATCTGGGATTAAGGCTAAATGGGAATCCTAGAAGAATCACTTAGGAAAACCCTTATTCTTGGCAGCTTATAGAAAACTATTTCTACTAAGACATGTCGATTCTTATTTATGATGTGGAGCTGGTGTCTAGACCTCTGTGTCTAAAGGAGCGAACTCTGGCAGCGGGAGTCCTGCCCTCAGGTCCTGAGACACTCTTGGAAATTCTAGAATCCATTAAGTCTTGGGTTTTGTTGGCAGGGTGACAGGGCGAATGGAGCTTGCAGGTGTGGGTTGGAATCTGCCGGTCATCCTGTTTGTCACTTGAGACTGATTGCTTCCATGGGGTTTTCTTATCCATAAAATGGAGGTGTTAAGAACTACCACATTGGCCACTGTGTGAGAATCCAGTGAAATAACATTGCTCAAGTGTTTAGTGCTGTGGCCGCCACACGGCAAGTTCCCAATGCAAGCCAACTGTTCTGTTACAGTAGGGTAGATGACGCAACCTGCTGAGCTGGACTGGGGAAGACACCCCCCTGTGTGGGAAGTCCCCCACTTCAGAGGCTGTCCTGTTCTTAAGCTGGGAGAGGGTAACACTGGGAGGGGAAGCGTGGACGCAGGTGCTAGGACGTGTCTAAGGTTGCAGAGGGCCCTGAAGTCACAACCACAAAACTTTCTCTCCAGATCAGCACTTTTAAATGATTTTAATCAAGTCTACAAACTAAAGTCTCTACCTTGCCTGGACTCTCTATCTACCTGGTAGATCCAAGTGTGGTATGTTGGGTATAGTGTTGCATTTTGCAAGAGTCTAGGCTGATAGCCACTTCGTGAAATCGATTTCAACATCTGCACTCACAAGCGGATGAGGTACCGACCTCTGGAAATGTAGAAGGTCACAGAGCCCTAAGCCCATTGCTCCAGTTACCTGGATCTCACAATCCTTCTCTGAGGGAGCTTGATTCTCCTAATCAAAAGTTGGGGAAAATGAGACCAAAAGGAGTCCTGGAAGATGGTGGCTTGCCTAGCAGGGCCAGTGGAGGTGGGCAGAGCCTGCGAGGCCCCCAGGAATGCGAGTTCCCAGCAGGCATCTGTTCTCGCAGCGCCTCAAGCAAGTCCAGCACCTCCACGCCAGGTCCACAGCCCCTCCCGGCTGGGCTATAAAGCCTGGGTCTCAGGCTGGAGCCTGCAGCTCTGTGCCACTGCTCCCCAGTCCTAGTTCCCAGATGGACACTCACTTCCTCTTCCTGCTGCTGCTGCTGGGCCTGTCCCTGCAGGTGGGCTCCCTGCAAGGTGAGTCCCTTCGGGGCATCTGGGAGGATCCCAAGGGGGTGGGGGGGGCGGGGTTAGTGGTGGCTTGTTGGGCGTTGAGAGAGGTGAGCAGCAAGGAGGAAGGACCTATCGTTATAGCCCTAACCTTGGATGTGACAGGTGTCACCTTCACCCCGCTATTCTCTCCTGCTCAGCCTCATCTCTCCTTTTCTCCCTCCACTCTTGGCACTGCTCTCTGCTTCCCCTCCTTCTTCCTCCTCTTTCTCCCTTTTTACTGCAGCCTCTACTTCCCACTTCCTTCCATTTAATCCCTGATACTCCCCAATTCCTCGTGCTTTCCTGCTGAAAGACTTAAATTGGACCCCACAAGAGTGGGGTCAGGTGGAGCTGACTGTG